ATCACAACGCAGTTCATACGAGTCTTGTCTGCTGTATTCGGCCTGGCCAGATTTGCTTTTAGTATATCCGGCGTGACAGTCGTCGTCACGCGTTGGGGCGTGCCCCCGTGATCCATAGATCGATCTTGCATGTCCTGTTTTGTTTTCCAATACGTCTCACAGGTCCTGCGTGTTGCCCCGGGCCTTGGTATTTTTGTTTGATTGGCGACGGGGTGCGGGCTGGACTTCGGCCTGATATGCCACTTTGTCTCGGACACGAGGTGGTCAGTCAGCCGCATCATACGCTGGGAGCGTACGCCTTAATGCTTCCTCCTCGAGTTGGGGTAGCAACCTACGCTTTGGGTAACTTTTGATTGGGCGTTTGGGTTCGTATTCCTCGGCCACCAGGAGCTCAGTCCATCTATCCGCTAGTAGATCTTGGTCAGCTTGAAGCTGTTGTTGCTTTTTCTTCAGGCTTTTTGCTATGCTATAAGCCGGCGCTTGAAGCACTCTTGTTCGGCAGGATCCTCAGGCACGATAAATCCGTCGTCGCCGAGGCTCACCTCGCCTTCGAAGAGAGGCATGTAATTGTCATCCTTTGATTCTCCGTCTACTGCCTGTTCCTTAGGGCTGGCTTGCCCATCCTCCCGCTCGTGGCCTGGCTGGAGGGGATTGTCTTCGTCTTCGGCGCTATCTGCAGCGTTATTGTCTCTTGTGCCGGTATCGCCGTTTTTGCTATGGCGGGGCTTAGAGCGGCGCCGTTGACGCCGGTGCTTAGATTGCTTCTTGGGGGGATTATCCTCTGTTGCCTTATTGCCATCGCTTTCTTTGGGGGTGTCCACCATGTATATATCATATGATGAGGTGGTAGTCCAGTGCCCTATGGGCGGTGGTTCCTATTCTTCTCCTACATCGCCGTCCATACCGTCGATGTCTTCGGAGCCGAAATCAAGCATGTCGGTTAAGTCGTCGACAGTGGCTATTAAGTGGGTGGTGGGTGGGGAATGAATTTCTTCGTCGTCCGCTTCCCACTCAAGCCAGACATAGTTCGGCCAAGGGTCTCCTGACAAGGAGAGAGATTTCAATGAATTTAGCAAGTCGCCCAAGGGCGAGTGCTGAAAGATATCCGCGGAGGAAAAATCCATGATCGGCGCCCAATCAGATTCGATAGGCATGGACGCAGGCGGTTCAGAGTCCGTGGCCGGGGACGAATCCAAGGATCCGGCAACACAGGTCTCGTAGGGGGTGAAGTCAGTATTCGGCTCTATCGCCGCTGAGTGTGCGGCCTCCGTGGCGGGGTCTATCCACCCATCCTTGGACGGCACGATTTGCTCCGGATTGAGGGCCGGAGTTGCCATAGGTGTGATCTCCCGAACACCGTCCAGCGGCAGAGCTAAGTCATGCTCGTTGTGACTGTGCGGCGCACCTGACATGGGCTCGAATCCGTTGAAGATGAAGTCTCCGTGGATGTCAGCAGTATAGTTTAAGTTTCCGAATCTGACCTGACGGCCAGGGGCGTAGCTCTCGATCTGCTCCAGATGGCCAAGCGTGTTGGCCCGCAGTACGAAGCTGCCGAATACGAAGATCTGTCCGGGGAGAAAAACCTCACCCTGGATCGCATCGTTGCCGATGATCTAAGGAGCCATCAAGCCTTATGGCGACGACATAGTGGAACTTTCAATGAAACCACCAATGTCGGTGTCAAAACCGGCAGATCTCGGGTAGGGGGTCCCGAACTGTGCATCTAAGGCGGATGGTAACAGGAGGCAGGGGACACGATGTTTACCCAGGTTCGGGCCCTCTCGATGGAGGTAACACCCTACTTCCTGCTTGATTGATCTTGATGATATGAGTATTACAAGAGTTGATCTACCACGAGATCGTAGAGGCTAAACCCTAGAAGCTAACCTATGATTCTGATTGCTCTTGTCCTACGGACTAAACCCTCCGGTTTATATAGACACCGGATGGGCTAGGGTTACACAGAGTCGGTTACAAGGGAGGAGATCTACATATCCGAATTTCCAAGCTTGCCTTCCACGCAAATGAGAGTCCCACCCGGACACGGGACGAAGTCTTCAATCTTGTATCTTCATAGTCCAACAGTCCGGCCAAAGTATATAGTCCGGCAGTCCGAGGACCCCCTAATCCAGGACTCCCTTAGGCCCCCCTTTTCTTCCTTCCCCCAAGGGGGGAGTCGCTTTCTTCCTCCTCCTCGTCATCGTCTTCGGCAGCCGAAGAGTGAGTCTCATCTTCGGAAGTCACATCCGCAGTGCCTTTTAGGCGAAGGCCACTTCGGGCCCCCTTGGCCGTTTTCTTGGCCTTCTTCTCTGGCACACCATAAGGCGCCGGAAACAGCATCTTCGTTGGAAGTGGGGTTTCTTGGTCTTCGGGCAGCGGAGCCGGACAGTTAATCCACCCCGCTATGTCGATCTAGGCCTAAAAAATTGATAGTAAGGCTTAGACTACTTCTCAAAATATGCCAGCAAAGGCTATACCTTGAAAACATGAAAGAACTTACCAAATTAGCCCGACATTTTAAGCTAAGCCCGCGATCCTCGATCGTAGGCGGTGGTGTCTCGCCGGCCTTGAAGAGCACTTTCCAGATGTCTTCGTGCATCATGCCGAAGAGCTCTAGCAGCGTCTGGTGCTTGGCCGGATCGAACTCCCACAAATAGCAAGTCCGGCGTTGGCACGGAAGGATCCGGCAAATGAGCATAACCTGGATCATGTTGACAAGTTTTATTCTCTTGGTTATCATGTTCTGGACGCACGTTTGGAGCCCAGTTAGCTCGTTCGAAGAACCCCAGGTTAGACCCTTCTCTTGCCAGGAGGTGAGCCGCATCAGAACTCCGGATCAGAATTCGGGGGCCGTCGCCCAATCGGTGTTGTGTGGCTCGGTGATGTAGAACCACCCCGACTGCCACCCCTTCACGTCTCCACAAAGGAGCCTTCAAGCCATGTGACATTAGGCACATTGCCCACCATAGCACCTCTGCACTCTGCTTGTTGGCCTCTCATCACCTTCGGCTTTACATTAAAGGTCTTCAGCCATAGGCCGAAGTGAGGTGGGATACGTAGAAAGGCCTCGCAAATGACTATAAATGCCGAAATGTTGAGGATAAAGTTGGGGGCTAGATCATGGAAGTCCAGCCCGTAGTAAAACATCAGTCCATGGACAAACGGGTGGAGAGGGAATCCCAGCCCGCGGACGAAATGTGTGAGAAACACAACCCTCTCATGGGGCTCTGGGGTAGGGATGATCTGTGCCTTGGCCGGGAGACGGTGAACGATCTCCTTGGCTAGATATCCGGCCTCTCGGAGCTCCTTGATGTCTTTCTTCTTAACAAAGGAGGCCATCCACTTGCCTCTAGCTCCGGATCCGGACATGGTTGGAGTGCTTTCTCCTGCGGGGGAAGCTAGATCTTGGGCGCTGGAGCTCAAGAATGGATTGGCAGAGGAAGGAGAAGGCGTGGGTGAATGAGGACAAATCCTTATCCCCTTATAAAGGCCGCGAATGTCAAACGCCTTCCTACTCGCCTTAAAACTCGCCTACTCCCAAGGGCTGTGTAAACGGCATGGATGGGTTATCCACGCCCGTATTGATGAGGATCCCGCAATAAGGGGACACAATCTCTGCTTTGACAAGGCGTGCCAATGGAAATCGCATCTCGAAACACGGGATGGCAGACAAAACGGTTCGATATAGTGATCGGGCAGACGTGATGTCATGTTGTAAAAAAATTGTCAACAGATTGGACTCGTGGAATATTATATTCTCTCCATGGTTGTGTGTGGTGTGTGTTACAGGTCCGGACACGTTGATACGTCTGAAGACTATCTTGGAGTTTGGAGGAAGGAACCCGCCTTGCAATGCCAAAGACAGATCTACATGCCGGATACATTGTCATTGAAGCCAGGTTTAGGGGCTACTAAGGGAGTCCTGGACTAAGGGGTCCTCGGGCATCCGGCCTGTTAGCCATGGGCCGGACTGATGGGCTGTGAAGATACGTAGACCGAAGACTGCACCCGTGTCCGGATGGTACTCTCCTTGGTGTGGAAGGCAAGCTTGGAGACCAAATATGTAGATTCCTTTCTTTGTAACCGACCTTGTGTAACCCTAGATCCTCCCGGTGTCTATATAAACCGGAGGACTTAGTCCGGAGGAGGGAGACATTACCATAGCCATACAAGCTAGACCTCTAGGGTTTAGCCATTACGATCTCGTGGTAGATCAACTCTTGTAATACTCATATTCATCAAGATCAATCAAGCAGGACGTAGGGTATTACCTCCATAGAGAGGGCCCGAACTTGGGTAAAACATTGTGTCCCCTGTCTCCTGTTACCATCGACCTTAGACACACAGTTCGGGACCCCCTATCTGAGATCCGCCGGTTTTGACACCGACAGGGGCCACCTGCCATCCGCAAGGGTGGAGGGCGCGCCCTACCCCTAGGCATGCCCCCCGTACTTGTGGGCCACCTGGCAGGGCCCCGGTGCTCATCTTCTGCTATATGGTGTGTTTTGACGTGGGAAAAATCAGGACGAAGCGCCGCCGTCTCGAGACGGAACCTGGGCAGAACCAATCTAGGGCTCCGGCGCAGCTGTTCTACCGGGAAAACTTCCCTCCGAGAGGGGGAAATCGAAGCCATCGTCATCTACAACGATCCTCTCATCAAGAGGGGGTCAATCTCCATCAACATCTTCACTAGCACCATCTCCTCTCAAACCCTAGTCCATCTCTTGTATCCGATCTTTGTCTCAAAACCTCATATTGGTACCTGTGGGTTGCTAGTAGTGTTGATTAATCCTTGTAGTTGATGCTAGTTGGTTTATTCGGTGTAAGATCATATGTTCATATCCTTAATGATAATTAATACTCCTCTAATTATGAACATGAATATGCTTTGTGAGTAGTTACGTTCGTTCCAGAGGAAATGGGAGAAGTCTTGTTATAAGTAATCCTGTGAATTTGGTATTCATTCGATATTTTGATGAGATGTATGTTGTCTTTCCTCTAGTGGTGTGATGTTGTCAAGAAGAATGTCTTCCCTTTATCTTTGAAGGGGAAGGCATTGACATGGTATAGGCTATGTGATGATATTGGATCATGGAACTACAACCAATTTAAATTGGAATTTCATCAGAAGTTTTATCCTATATGCATCTGGTTCATCGTGATCGGAATTATATATATAATTTTTTGGTCTTGTGAAGGAGAAAGTATCGCTCAAGCTTGGGGGAGGCTTAAGTCAATGTTATATTCATGCCCCAGTCATGAGCTCTCAAAGGAAATTATTATTCAAAAAATTTATGCTCAACTTTCTCATAATGATCGATCCATGCTCGATACTTCTTGTACTGGTTCTTTTATGAAGAAGGATATTGAATTCAAATGGGAATTATTGGAAAGAATTAAACACAACTCTAAGGATTGGGAACTCGACGAAGGTAAGGAGTCAGGTATAAACCTTAAGTTTAATTGTGTTAAATCTTTTATGGATACCGATGCTTTTCGTGATTTTAGCACTAAGTATGGATTTGACTGTGAGATGGTAGCTTCTTTTTGTGAATCTTTTGCTACTCATGTTGATCTCCCTAAGGAGAAGTGGTTTAAATATAATCCTCCCATTGAAGTGAAAGTATTAGAACCCATTAAAGTTGAAGAATAAACTATTACTTATAATGTTAATCCTATTATTCCTACTGCTTATATTGAGAAACCACCTTTTCTTATTAGAATAAAGGATCATGCTAAAGCTTCAATTGTGGTTCGTAAGAGTTATACTATAACACCTATACCCCCTGAACAAATTAAAGTTGAACCTAGTATTACTATGGTTAAAGATCTCTTGGTCGATAATATTGAAGGGCATGTTATTTGATGACCCACAAGTATAGGTGATCAGTTGTAGATCTTTTCGATAAGTAAGAGCGTCGAAGCCAACGAGGAGCAGAAGGAAATGGCAAGTGGTTTTCGGCAAGGTAATGTCTGCAAGTGCTGAAATTGTAAGTAGCGGAGTAGTTTGATAGCAAGATAATTTGTAACGTGCAAGTAACGGTAGTAGTAACAAAAGTGCAGCAAGGTAGCCCAATCCTTTTGAGGCAAAGGACAGTCCAGAATGGTCTCTTATGATGAGCAAAGCGTTCTTGAGGGTACACGGGAATTTCATCTAGTCACTTTCATCATGTTGGTTCGATTTGTGTTCACTACTTTGATATTTGATATGTGGATGGACCGGTGCTTAGGTGCTGTTCTTACTTGAACAAACCTCCTACTTATGATTAACCCTCCCGCAAGCATCCACAACTACGAGAAAAGTATTAAAAATAAATTCTAACCATAGCATTAAACTTTTGGATCCAATCGGTCCCTTATGGAATTGCCCATAAACTGGGGTTTAAGCTTCTGTCACTCTCGCAACCCATCATCTAATTGCTACTCCACAATGCATTCCGTTAGGCCCAAATATGGTGAAGTGTCATGTAGTTGATGTTCACATGACACAACTAAGGGAATCACAACATACGTACTATCAAAATATCAAACACATATTAAGTTCGCATGATTACTTGCAACATGATTTCTCCCGTGACCTCAAGAACAAAAGTAACTACTCACAAATGGTAAACATGCTCAAGATCAGAGGGGTATTAAATAGCATATTGGATCTGAACATATAATCTTCCACCAAATAAACCATATAGTAATCAACTACAAGATGTAATCAACACTACTAGTCACCCACAAGCACCAATCTATAGTTCCGATAACAAGATTGAACACAAGAGATGAACTAGGGTTTGAGATGAGATGGTGATGTTGAAGATGTTGATGGAGATTGCCCTCCCCAAGATGGGAGAGTTGTTGGTGATGATGACGACGATGATTTCCCCCTCTGGGAGGGAAGTTCCCCCGGCGGAATCGCTCCGCCGGAGGGCAAAAGTGCTCCTTCCCAAGTTCCGCCTCGAGGCGGCGGCGCTTCATCCCGAAAGTCCTCCCCTCATTTTTTCTAGGTCAAAATGACTTATATACCAGAAGATGGGCACCGAAGGTGGGCCGAGGAGAGCACAACCCACCAGGGCGTGCTTGGGCTCCCTGGCGCGCCCAGGTGGGTTGTGCCCACCTAGTGAGCCCCCTCTGGTACTTATTGGCTCCAATATTCCTCATATATTCCATAAAAAATCCTCATGAAGTTTCAGCTCATTTGGAGTTGTGCAGAATATGTAGCCTGACGTAGCTTTTTCAGATCCAGATTTCCAGCTGCCGGAATTCTCCCTCTTGGTGTATAATTTGCATATTATGAGAGAAAAGGCATTAGAATTACTCCAAAAAGATTTATTATGGATAAAAACATCATAAATAACAGTAAGAAAACATGATGCAAAATGGACGTATCAACTCCCCCAAGCTTAGAACTCGCTTGTCCTCAAGCGAAAACCGAAATCGAAAAACATGTCCACATGCTTTGAGAGAGAGAGGTGTTGATAAAAACAAAATACGGACATAGAAGCATCATGTTGATTTTGATAACAGCAATAAAATTAAAATAGGACTCTTATCATAGAACTTTTATCATATACTTCTCATGAATAAGTAACAATTCATCACACAATCGAAGTATAAAGCAAAAACTCTATTAAAAACCAACAAACTATGTTCTCAGTCAACTTTGCAACTACAATTCATCATCTTTTCAGGAAGGGTCATGTATCGGAGCCTTTGGTCAAGTCCACATACTCAACCATCATATAGTCTTCTATGATTGCTAACACTCATCGCGCACACATGAGCAAAACGTTTCAACCGGACACATAGAAAGATAGGGGCTTATAGTTTCGCCTCCCAACATATTCACCTCAAGGGTGATGTCAACAATAATAACTCATGCTATCTATATTCAACTAGACATATGTGCCTAGATCTTTCCTCGCCACATGATGCTTGCAAAAGGAGAAAAATAAAAAGGAATAGAAGGAAAACTTTGACTCTTTGCATAAAAGTAAATACATAAAAGTAAAAGATAGGCCCTTCGCAGAGGGAAGCAGAGGTTGCCATGCGCTTATTTGTTTGTATGCTGAAGCTCTTAGTGCAAAAGAACGTCACATTATGTTGCCCCTTGTAATAGCGACCTTTATTATGCAGTCTGCCGCTTTTATTCTTCACCATCACAAGTTCGTGCAACACTCAATTTTCTCTTACACTAAATGATCTCACACTCTTAGAAGCAATTTTTATTGCCTTTTTGCACCGATGACAACTTACTTGAGGGATCTTGCTCAATCCCTAGGTAGGTATGGTGGACACTTGAAAATAAGATTTGGGTTTAAGGGTTTTTGGATGCACAAGTAGTATCTCTACTTAGTGCAGGATTTTTGGCTAGAAAAGATAGGGGGCAAGCACCACATGTTTAAGGATCTATGACAATATGACTTCTATGTGAAAATAAACAAACATAAATCATTAAGTTGTCTTCCTTGTCCAACATCAACAATTTTGGCATATAATATTTTGATGAGGGCTCACAATCACAAAAGATTTCTAGGATAGTATATTTATATGTGAATATTCTCTTCCCTTATTGATTCTTTCATGAGTTGCATCATTGACTAATGCTATGTTTGTCAATCTCTAATAAAATTTTCTACTTATACTTTTCCTTATGTGGTGTCATCGCCTACCATAGGATTAGTACATGATATGTCCTTCCTTTCTTTTATTTATTTCCTTTCTTATTTTCTTTCTTATTTATTTTCTTTAATTTGCAATATGAAAGTAAAGAAAGCAAAAACTCGAACTAACTTTATTATATAACTTGCACACGATTACAAGGATAGATCACTAAGCAAACTCTCAAAGAAGAAAGGATCGAACTAAACTTTTATTCATCTAAAGCAAAAAGATAGAACTAAAATAAGTAAAAGAAAAAGGATAGTGGGGTGATACGATACCGGGGCACCTCCCCCAAGCTTGGCGGAAGCACCACGGGGAGTGCCCATACCCGATACTCAATTCTCCTTTGGTGATGAAGAAGAAGATGATGGTGATGAAGCGATCCTGTCTTTAAGGATCAAGGGATTCTCCAATCGACGGATGACGCTCCGGAGATGGATGATATGCTCTTGATGCAGAATATTTTCGCGAGTGAGATACTTATTTTGTATGTGAACTATTTCAATGACGCGAAAAGATTCAATCTCAGCAAGAGTAAGGTGAGTAAGGTAGGGCTTAAGGATATCTTCTTCCTCCTCCTCGGCCAATAGTGCTTATGCTCCCACCGGGGATGGATCTATGGTAGCTTTCTTTCCCTTGTCTCCTTTGACGGTGTCCGTAGGCTCCTCCCGCTTCATCTCGATCTTCATCAACCAAGCATATTCTTCCATGTTGTTGGAGGAGCTGGAAGACATGATGCCTGGCTTGATAAATCTGACCGGAAACAGTAAGAAAAGAGAACAGAGGATTTCTTCATGATACGGTGATCAACAGGTTCGGGAAGCATATATAGATTTTTTTATCTTGGAGGACAAGCATACGGTAAAAAAATGGAGTCCGGAAGGTGTCTGAGGTGGGCACAACACACCTGGGCGTGCCAGGCAATCCTGGAAGTTTTTTAATTTCCAAAAAAATATTACAAAACTGATAAAAAATATTTTTGTGGATTTTTCGGAGTCTGTTTACTTACCGTACCAGGTACCTCCTTATTTTCATGATTCTGGAGTGTCCCGGAAGGACTCTTTTATGTGTTCTTTCGGTGTCGGAGTTCGGATAACATTACTTTCAACATTAATAGGCATACCTGAGATATAATGCTTTATTCGTTGCCCATTGACAACCTTCGGGTTAGTACCTTCGGAATTATTTATTTGATGTCTCCGGACAGGTAAACCTCCTCGATAACATAGGGACCTTCCCATTTTGAGAGGAGTTTTCCTGCAAAGAATCTGAAACGAGAGTTGTACAAAAGAACATATTCTCCTACTTTAAACTCACGCTTTTGGATTCTTTTGTCATGCCATCTTTTTACTTTTTCTTTGAATAATTTTGAATTTTCATAATCTTGGGTTCTCCATTCATCTAAAGAGGTAATATCAAATAACCTCTTTTCACCAGCAAGTTTGAAATCATAATTGAGTTCTTTGATTGCCCAATATGCTTTATGTTCTAACTCAAGAGGCAAATGACAAGCTTTTCCATAAACCATTTTATAAGGAGACATACCCATAGGATTTTTATATGCTGTTCTATAAGCCCAAAGTGCGTCATTTAATTTCTTAGACCAATTCTTCCCGGACCTATTGACAGTCTTTTGCAAAATTAATTTTATTTCTCTATTGCTAAGTTCAACTTAACCACTAGACTGAGGATGATAAGGTGATGCAATTCTATGGTTAACATCATACTTGGCAAGCATTTTACAAAAAGCACCATGAATAAAGTGTGAGCCACCATCAGTCATTAAATATCTAGGGACTTCAAACCTCAGGAAAATAACTTCCTTAAGCATTTTAGTAGAGGTGTTGTGATCAGCACTACTGGTTGGAATAGCTTCTACCCTTGTAGTAACATAATCAACAACAACCAAAATATGTGTATACCCATTAGAGGAAGGAAAAGGTCCCATGTAATCAAATCCCCAAACATCAAATGGTTCAACATCAAGTGAATAATTCATAGGCATTTCTTGACGCTTACCGATATTACCTATTCTTTGACATTCATCACAAGATAAGGCAAACTTATGGGCATCCTTGAAGAGAGTGGGCCAATAAAATCCCGACTGCAATACCTTATGAGCAGTTCTATCTCCAGCATGATGCCCTCCATAAGCTTCAGAGTGACATTTCCGTAGGATTTGTCCCTGTTCATGCTCAGGTACACAACGTCTAATAATACCATCTACTCCTTCTTTATAAAGATGTGGGTCATCCCAAAAGTAATGTATTAAATCATAGAAGAATTTTTTATTTTGTTTGTAAGTAAATCTAGGTGGTAAATATTTAGCAACAATGTAATTAGCATAGTCAGCATACCAAGGAGTACTTTGAGCAACATTTATTGCGGCTAACTGCTCATCAAGAAAACTATCATCAATAGGTAGTGGGTCATCAGGCAAATTTTCAAGCCTAGACAAATTATCAGCTACTGGGTTCTCAGCTCCTTTTCTATCAATGATATGTAAATCAAATTCTTGCAAGAAGAGAACCCATCGACTAAGTCTAGGTTTAGCATCTTTCTTTTCCATAAGATATTTGTGTCTCCAACGTATCTATAATTTTTATTGTTCCATGCTATTATATTATCAACCTTGGATGTTTTATATGCATTTATATGCTATTTTATAAGATTTTGGGACTAACCTATTAACCTAGAGCCTAGTGCCAGTTTTTGTTTTTTCCTTATTTTAGAGTATCGCAGAAAAGGAAAATCAAACGGAGTCCAATTGACCTGAAACTTCACGAAACTTATTTTTGGAACAGAAGCAATCCATGCGACTTGGAGTAGACGTCAGGGAAGCTTTGAGGGAGGCATGAGGCAGGGAGGTGCGCCCCCACCCTCGTGGGCCTCTCGTGGCTCCCCTGACCGACTTCTTTCGCCTATATATGTCCATATACCCTAAAAACATCGAGGAGCAGAATAGATCGGGAGTTCCGTCGCCAGAAGCCTCCGTAGCCACCGAAAACCAATCTAGACTCCTTCTGGCACCCTGCCGGAGGGGGGAATCCCTCTCCGGTGGCCATCTTCATCATCCCGGTGCTCTCCATGATGAGGAGGGAGTAGTTCTCCCTCGGGGCTGAGGGTATGTACCGGTAGCTATGTGTTTGATCTCTCTCTCTCTCTCTCGTGTTCTTGAGGTGATACGATCTTGATGTATCGCGAGCTTTTCTACTATAGTTGGATCTTATGATGTTTCTCCCCCTCTACTCTCTTGTGATGAATTGAGTTTTCCCATTGAAGTTATCTTATCGGATTGAGTCTTTGAGGATTTGAGAACACTTGATGTATGTCTTGCACGTGCTTATCTGTGGTGACAATGGGATATCATGTGATCCACTTGATGTATGTTTTGGTGATCAACTTGCGAGTTCCGTGACCTCGTGAACTTATGCATAGGGCTGGCACACATTTTCGTCTTGACTCTCCGATAGAAACTTTGGGGCACTCTTTGAAGTACTTTGTGTTGGTTGAATAGATGAATCTGAGATTGTGTGATGCATATCATATAATCATACCCACGGATACTTGAGGTGACATTGGAGTATCTAGGTGACATTAGGGTTTTGGTTGATTTGTGCCTTAAGGTGTTATTCTAGTACGAACTCTATGATAGATTGAACGAAAAGAATAGCTTTGTGTTATTTTACTACGGGCTCTTAAATAGATCGATCAGAAAGGATAACTTTGAGGTGGTTTCGTACCCTACAATAATCTCTTCGTTTGTTCTCCGCTATTAGTGACTTTGGAGTGACTCTTTGTTGCATGTTGAGTGATAGTTATATGATCCAATTGTGTTATTATTGTTGAGAGAACTTGCACTAGTGAAAGTATGAACCCTAGGCCTTGTTTACTAGCATTGCAATACCGTTTGTGCTCACTTTTACCGTTAGTTACCTTGCTGTTTTTATATGTTCAAATTACAAAAACCTATATCTACCATCCATATTGCACTTGTATCACCATCTCTTCGCCGAACTAGTGCACCTATACAATTTACCATTGTATTGCGTGTGTTGGGGACACAAGAGACTCTTTGTTATTTGGTTGCAGGGTTGTTTGGGAGAGACCATCTTCATCCTACGCCTCCCACGGATTGATAAACCTTAGGTCATCCACTTGAGGGAAATTTGCTACTGTCCTACAAACCTCTGCACTTGGAGGCCCAACAACGTCTACAAGAAGGTTGTGTAGTAGACATCAAGCTCTTTTCTGGCGCCGTTGCCGGGGAGGTTAGCGCTTGAAGGTATATATTTAGATCTTGCAATCGAATCTTTTTGTTTCTTGTTTTATCACTAGTTTAGTTTATAAAAGAAAACTACAAAAAATGGAATTAAGGATACCTCATATGCTTCATCTTTTTAATCTCTTTCGTGAGAATAAGGATTCCAATAATTGTGCTCAAGTGCTAGAAGAAGAATGCATTAGAATGTTTGGCACTAAATATTTGAATGATGAGCATGATTGCAATGTTGTGATGCTAATGATATGCAAAGCCACAAGCTTGGGGAAGCTATGTTTGATGAAGATGATATTTTTTGTCCCCCAAGTTTTGATGAGCAAATTTATTTTGATGATAGAATGCCTCCTATTTATGATGATTATATCGATGAAAGTGAGTTTGGAAGAGTGTCAACTTTAGGAAGTGATGATCCCACTATTTTGGAGGATGTTGAATCTTATTGTGATAATTATAGAGGTGGATTTGGAGAGGTCATGACTTTATTCAGTAACTAGTTGACTCGTTGCGCCAACTGGCGCAGAGACCCGCTAAAGCCATGTTATCGATGAAAATAGTTTCATTTTGCAAGGACCTATTTGATATTTGTAGTAGAATTCTATATTGACAATATGGTTATCATGTTGTGAAACCCGTTGCGCCAAATGGTGCAGAGACCTAATGATTCCAAGTTAGCGACGAAAAGAAATCCATGGCTTAGTAGATTTTGTTACGGACAAGCACATATGACAACAAATTTAATCTCTTATTAGTTAGGGAAAATAGGGCTTGTTGCGCCAAATGGCGCAGAGGCACCCTAAATCCATGTGCATGAGGAAAAAAATATCCATGGCTCAATCACATTTAATAGGAAACATGGTTGATTGTTGTCTACAATGAGATGTATATACACATTTTAAGTTGATAGCACAAAATATTTGCTACCATTTTCACAAAGACCCATTTTAAATCATGTACGCATTGAAAATATGTGCACTTTCCGGTGACTGTTTGAGCAAAAAATACATCGGCTTCTGTTTAAAAATATACGTGTCTATAAAATCATGAGTGCTCTGGCCATAAACATAGTAGAATTAATACAAATAAGTCAGGAGACTACATATCAACTCCCGTGCTCTTAAAACAAAACAACAAAACTTATCATTTCCTCTCTTTAGAGCATTCTCCTCTTCTTCTCGGGTGACCTGTTGCTACCTCTTGAGCACTGCGTTGGTTTTCCCTTGAAGAGGAAAGGGTGATGCAGCAAAGTAGCGTAAGTATTTCCCTCAGTTTTTGAGAACCAAGGTATCAATCCAGTAGGAGGCTACGCGCGAGTCCCTGATACGTCTCCAACGTATCTGTAATTTTTGATTGCTCCATGCTATATTATCTACTGTTTTGGACTATATTGGGCTTTATTTTCCACTTTCATATTATTTTTGGGACTAACCTATTAACCGGAGGCCCAGCCCAGAATTGCTGTTTTTTTCCTATTTCGGTGTTTTGGATAAACGGAATATCAAACGGAGTCCAAACGGAATAAAATCTTCGGGAATGTGATTTTCTCACCGAACGTGATCCAGGAGACTTGGACCCTGCTCCAAGGAACAAAAGAGGCGGACCCGAGGGCGGGGGGCGCGCCCCCCCTAGGGCGCGCCCCCCTGCGTTGTGGGCCCCTCGTTGCTCCTCCGGCGTACTTCTTCCTCCTATATATACACACGTACCCCCAAACCATCAGAAGAGGAGCAAAAATCATAATTCCACCGCCGCAACTTTCTGTATCCATGAGATCCCATCTTGGGGCCTGTTCCGGAGCTCCGCTGGAAGAGGGTCGTCATGACGGAGGGCTTCTACATCATCCTAGCCCCTCCGATGAAGTGTGAGTAGTTTATCTCAGACCTTCGGGTCCATAGTTAGTAGCTAGATGGCTTCTTCTCTCTCTTTGAATCTCAATACAAAGTTCTCCCCTCTCTTGTGGAGATCTATTCGATGTAATCTTCTTTTTGCGGTGTGTTTGTTGAGATCGATGAATTGTGGGTCTATGATCAAGTCTATCTATGAATAATATTTGAATCTTCTCTGAATTCTTTTATGTATGATTGGTTATCTTTGCAAGTCTCTTCGAATTATCCGTTTGGTTTGGCCAACTAGATTGGTAGTTCTTGCCATGGGAGAAGTGCTTAGCTTTGGGTTCGATCTTGCGGTGTCCTTACCCAGTGACAGAAGGGGCAGCAAGGCACGTATTGTATCGTTGCCATCAAGGATAACAAGATGGGGTTTATTTCATATTGCATGAATTTATATCTCTACATCATGTCATCCTGCTTAAGGCGTTACTCTATTTTTAACTTAATACTCTAGATGCATGCTGGATAGCGGTCGATGAGTGGAGTAATAGTAGTAGATGCAGAATCGTTTCGATCTACTTGTCACGGACGTGATGCCTATATACATGATCATGCCTATATATTCTCATAACTATGCTCAATTCTGTCAATTGCTCAACAGTAATTTGTTCACCCACCATAGAATACTTATGCTCTTGAGAGAAGCCACTAGTGAAACCTATGGCCCCCGGGTCTATTCTCATCATATCAATCTCCATCACTTTAATCTTGTTTTGCTTTTTTACTTTGCTTTTACTTTTTACTTTGCATCTTTATACCAAAAATACCAAAAATATTATATCTATCAGATCTCACTCTCGTAAGTGACCGTGAAGGGCTTGACAACCCCTAATCGCGTTGGTTGCAAGTAGCTATCGCTTTGTGCAGGTACGAGGGACTTGAGTGTGGGCTCCTACTGGATTGATACCTTGGTTCTCAAATACTTACGCTACTCTACTGTATCATCCCTTCCTCTTCGGGGAAAACCAACGCAAGTTCAAGACGTAGCAGTCCCTCACACCTACACAAAACAAATAAATCCTTGCAACCAACGCGATAAGGGGTAGTCAATCCCTACACGGTCACTTGCGAGAGTGAGATCTGGTAGATATGATAAGATAATATTTTTGGTATTTTTATGATATAGATGCAAAGTAAAATAAAAGGCAATGAAAATAACTAAGTATTGGAAGATTAATATGATGAAGATAGACCCGGGGGCCATAGTTTCACTAGTGGCTTCTCTCAAGAGCATAAGTATTTTACAGTGGGTGAACAAATTACTGTTGAGCAATTGATAGAATTGAGCATAGTTATGAGAATATCTTGGTATGATCATGTATATAGGCATCACGCCCGAGACAAGTAGACCAACTCCTGCCTGCATCTACTACTATTACTCCACACATCGACCGCTATCCAGCATGCATCTAGAGTATTAAGTTCATAAGAATAGAGTAACGCCTTAAGCAAGATGACATGATGTAGAGGGATAAATTCATGCAATATGATAAAAAAACCATCTTGTTATCCTCGATGGCAACAATACAATATGTGCCTTGCTGCCCCTACTGTCACTGCGAAAGGACATTGCAAAATTGAACCCAAAGCTAAGCACTTCTCCCATTGCAAGAAAGATCAATCTAGTAGGCCAAACCAAACTGATAATTTGAAGAGACTTGCAAAGATAACCAATCATACATAAAAGAATTCAGAGAAGATTCAAATATTGTTCATAGATAAACTTGATCATAAACCCACAATTCATCGGTCTCAACAAACACACCGCAAAAGAAGATTACATCGAATAGATCTCCACAAGAGAGGGGGATAACTTTGTATTGAGATCCAAAAAGAGAGAAGAAGCCATCTAGCTAATAACTATGGACCCGAAGGTCTGAGGTAACCTACTCACACTTCATCGGATAGGCTATGGTGCTGATGTAGAAGCCCTCCGTGATCGATGCCCCCTCCGGCGGAGCTCGGGAACAGGCCCCAAGATGGGATATCGTGGATACAGAAAGTTACGGCGGTGGAACTAGGGTTTTGGCTCCGTATCTGATCGTTTGGGGGTACGTAGGTATATATAGGAGGAAGAAGTACGTCGGTGGAGCAATAGGGGGCGCAAGAGGGTGGAGGGCGCGCCTAGGGGGGTAGGCGCGCCCCCTATCTCGTGGCCTCCCTGTTGGTTGCTTGACGTAGGGTCCAAGTCTCCTGGATCTTGTTCGTTCCAAAAATCACGTTCCCGAAGGTTTCATTCCGTTTGGACTCCATTTGATATTCCTTTTCTTCGAAACCCTAAAATAGGCAAAAAACCAGCAATTCTGGGCTGGGCCTCCGGTTAATAGCTTAGTCCCAAAAATAATATAAAAGTGGATAATAAAGCCCAATAATGTCCAAAACAGTAGATAATATAGCATGGAACAGATTTTTTGATGTGGAATGCTACTAGGCATAATTTCATAGTAATTCTTCTTAATTGTGGCATGATTATTCAGATCTGAAAGATTCAAGACAAAAGTTTAATATTGACATAAAAATAATAATACTTCAAGCATACTAACTAAGCAATTATGTCTTCTCAAAATAACATGGTCCAAGAAAGTTATCTCTACAAAATCATATAGTCTTGCTATGCTCTATCTTCACCACACAAAGTATTTAAATCATGCACAACCCCGATGACAAGCCAAGCAATTGTTTCATACTTTTGACATTCTCAAAACTTTTTCAATCTTCACGCAATACATGAGCGTGAGCCATGGACATAGCACTTTAGGTGGAATAGAATGGTGGTTGTGGAGGAGACAAAAAGGAGAAGATGGTCTCACATCAACTAGGCGTATCAACGGGCTATGGAGATGCCCATCAATAGATATCAATGTGAGTGAGTAGGGATTGCCATGCAATGGATGCACTAGAGCTATAAGTATATGAAAGCTCAAAAAGAAACTAAGTGGGTGTGCATCCAACTTGCTTGCTCACGAAGACCTAGGGCATTTTGAGGAAGCCCATCATTGGAATATACATGCCAAGTTCTATAGTGAAAAATTCCCACTAGTATATGAAAGTGATAACATAGGAGACTCTCTATGATGAAGATCATGGTGCTACTTTGAAGCACAAGTGTGGTAAAAGGATAGTAGCATTGTCCCTTCTCTCTTTTTCTCTCATATTTTTTTATTTGGGCCTTTTCTTTTTTATGGCCTCTTTTTATTATTATTTTTCGTCTGGAGTCTCATCGCGACTTGTGGGGGAATCATAGTCTCCATCATCCTTTCCTCACTGGGACAATGCTCTAATAATGATGATCATCACACTTTTATTTTCTTACAACTCATGAATTACAACTCAATACTTAGAACAAGATATGACTCTATATGAATCCCTGTTCAAGAATTCATCTGATTAACCAGTTAACTGGCCGATTAATCCCTACTCATAGGGTCACCGAGTAGCCGATAAACCGAAAAATCATCTGATTAATTGATTAAATGGCCGATTAACTTGCCAATTAGCCGATTAATCCCCTACTCGCTAGCCAACCGAGCAGCTACCAGTTAACGATTTCCTCAACAATGATATGAATGCCTCCGGCGGTGTACCGGGATATGCAATGACTCATGAGTGACATGTATGGAAGAATTATGAACGGTGGCTTTGCCACAAATACGATGTCAACTACATGATCATGCAAAGCAATATGACAATGATGGAGTGTGTCATAATAAACGGAATGGTGGAAAGTTGCATGGCAATATATCTCGGAATGGCTATGGAAATGCCATAATAGGTAGGTATGGTGGCTGTTTTGAGGAAGGTATATGGTGGGTGTATGATAACGACGAACGGTGCACGGTATTAGAGAGGCTAGCAATGATGGAAGGGTGAGAGTGTGTATAATCCATGGACTCAATATTAGTCATAAAGAACTCACATACTTATTGCAAAAATCTACAAGTTATCGAAGCAAAGTATTACGCCCATGCTCCTAGGGGGATAGATTGGTAGGAAAAGACCATCGCTCGCCCCCGACCGCCACTCATAAGGAAGACAATCAATAAATAAAGCATGCTCCGACTTCGTCACATAACGGTTCACCATACGTGCATGCTACGGGAATCACAAACTTCAACACAACTATTTCTCAAATTCACAACTACTCAATTAGCACAACTTTAATATCACCATCTCCATATCTCAAAACAATTATCAAGTTTCAAACTTTTCATAGTATTCAACACACTCATAAGAGAATTTTATTATTAATCTAGTATACCTAGCATATTAGGATTATTTAAGCAAATTACCATGCTATTTAAGACTCTCAAAAATAATCTAAGTGAATCATGAGAGATCAATAGTTTCTATAAAACAAATCCACCACCGTGCTCTAAAAGATATAAGTGAAGTACTAGAGCAAAACTATATAACTCAAAAGATATAAGTGAAGCACATAGAGTATTCTAATAATTTCTGAATCATGTGTCTCTCTCTCAAAAGGTGTGTGCAGCAAAGATGATTGTGTAAAACTAACAAATAAAGGCTCAAATCATACAAGACGCTCCAAGCAAAACACATATCATGTGGTGAATAAAAATATAGCTCCAAGTAAAGTTTTTTTTGACTATGTACTGCAAGGCAATAGCCTCACAGTCTTTTATTAAACCACAGAGCCAAAGTGTACAAAGTTACAAAGTTAAGAGAGAGGAGGAGAGAGTAATACTTACAAAAGAAATGATTTGGGTAAGGAAGCTATCCAAGAGATTAGACTATTCCTATATTTACATTTGATTCTATGTGCTAAAAGAGAAATGTCATGCAAAAAATTCCTCCTCCATGCCCTGAAAGAAGGTGATTCATTCCTGAAGATCTTCCCATTTCTTTGTGTCCAAATATTCCAAGTGGCAGTGAACACTATCTCAGAGAAAAAAGGATGTCCAAAATCCCTCCTAGCATCAGAAGCCATGTCATAAGTGGTCTGGTTTGGTTGAGGATTCCACGAAATACCCAGGTAGTTCCAGATACGCTGGCTAAAATTGCAAGCGAAGAAGAGATGGGTTCTGTCCTCATGTGATGCCAAGTGACATAGAACACAAGTGTCATCCTTGATAATCCAATGCCGCCGCTGCATCATGTCTCTAGTGTTTAGGCGATCCATCAAAAGGAGCCACCCAAAAACCTTAAACTTCATAGTACAAGAACATTTCCAAATCCACCTGAATATGGGATCAACCACTGTGTCCGAAAAGCATGACAAGCAATAAATCCTGGACTGGTAGTCCCCGGACTTGGAAGGCCATTTCCAGACATCATTTTGCCCATCTTGAAGATTAACCATAGTAAGCAACGCCTGAAGTTGATTAAACTCCTCAAAGGCCTGAGCAGACAGTGGCAGATGGAGATTGTCAGTTGGGTCTGGTAGCTCCAGAATATCCTTGACTGTTAGAGTGTCGTCGATCACAAAGGAGTGGAGCCTCGAAAACTGATGTTGCATGCTAACCGTATTGTTGCCAAGTTGCCAACGGTCAAGCCAGAAGATCACCGTATCCCCCGATCGAACTAGTGGGACTGCCAACTTGCAATACTTATCATACAGCTTGAAAACATCTCTCCACCAGAAAGAACCGCAGCTTTGCGTGACTTGGGGGGGCGCAGAGGCGTAATAAGTGTCCCAAATAAGAGATACCCATGGTACATCCATCTTATTGAAGAACTTAAAAAGATGTTTGATGAGCAGTGCATCGTTTTGAACGCTCAAGTCCATAACTCCCAGACCACCAAAAGATTTTGGACATACCAAGTCCCAAGCTGCCAAAGATTGCCGGGGCGTATCCGTGTTCCCTCTCCACAAGCATTGTCGCATAATCCGCTCAATCTGCTTCAAGATACCCTGCGGTAGCGAAAGGGTGCACAAGAAATATATTGGCGTAGAACTAAGGACAGACTGTAAAACGTGGAGCCGGCTTCCTTGATTCAAGAGACTAGAGGATGCAGATAATCGTCTCTCAATACGATCCACCAAAGGCAACAGATCATAAATTGTTGGCTGGGAAGTACCCATTGGTAGGCCCAGGTAAGTGAATGGCATGGAACCAACATCACATCCAAGCAAGGCAGCAACACGCGTGCCCTCGTCATCAGTCATATTGATGGGTATCAAAGAGGACTTACTGAAATTCACCCTTAGTCTGGTTGATTTGGCAAAGACTTCAAGCATTTCTTTGAATGCAATGAGCTAGCTATCAATAGCAGGAAGAACGATGAGTGTATCGTCAACATACTGTACGATCGGATAGTCCATCGATGTAGTTGGGATAGGCAAGGTGAGAATATTCCTGGAGCACATCTCATTTACAACCGATTGAAGTAAGTCCACCACGATCACAAAGAGTAAGGGAGATAGCGGATCACCTTGGCGAACACCTGATCGACAAACAAAGTGGTTACCAGGCACTCCATTCAAAAGAACCGAAGAGGAGCCTGTGGACAGAATGCTGTCAATCCAACTTGTCCAACGATCATCAAATCCCTTACATTTCAAAACCCTAAGAATCAGCTCATGCTCAATGGTGTCAAACGCCTTTGTGAAGTCAAGCTTAAGAAGAATGATAGGCCTCTTGGAAGCTTTGCATTGGTGAATGTATTCAAAACACCATGCCAAGCAGTCCTGTATGGATCGACACCATAGAAACCCATATTGGTTGCGGTGGATACATTTCAGGATCACACCCTGAAGACAATTTGCCAAAAGTTTGGTTAAGAACTTTAAACAAGTATTAGTCAAATATATGGGCCTAAAATCGCCAACATATTCAGGGCTTAGCTTCTTCGGAATGAGGGTGATAAGAGATGTGTTGAGACACTCCAAATTACATTTTCCCTCATAGAATTCCTGCACAAGTTTCATAAAGTCCTCCTTCAAAATAGGCCAGCATTTCTTTAAGAAAAGCCCAGTAAAGCCGTCTGGTCCGGGAGCACGATCAGTAGGCATATTCTTAATTATCGTATCCACCTCAGAATCAGTGAATGGTAAAGACAACTCCTCTAGCCCATCAATTCGGGTAATTAATGTGTCTAGATCAAAACCCATCTGAATGCCTTTTGATTGGCCCATTCACTGATTAAAATCAGCCCAGAACATTCCCGCCAACTGTTGATGGTCCGTGACCACATCCCCCTCCACAGACTTGATCGAGGAGATAGTATTCCTACGGAATCTTTCCGTAGCCATGGCATGAAAAAAATTTGAATTCTCTTCTCCAACTTTTATGTTTCTGATCGTGCAACGCTGCTTCCAATAGATAAATTGCCAATGTAAGATATCCTCAAGATGCAATTTAACAATTCTACGGAAATTGAACTCCGGCCAACTCAAAGGCCTAATTTCCTCTAGATTATCCAGGAAAATAATCACTTTATTACAATCAGCAATTAAAGCTTTGACTATGGACAGGTTTAAATGCCATTTCTTGAGAGCATATCGGAGGTACTTAAACTTAGCTGAAATTG